TCAACAATCTTGTTTGTATTTATAGATATGTCGTTTCAAAAACATATTATTTTGTTGAACGCTTAACATTTTGTATACCAAAATTAATCCAAAATGTAAAAAACTAATTAATAGTACTTAGTTAATATTAACATGAAGAGAAAGTACTATACATCACTTATTAGTCAAGAAATAAGTTTTTTTTATCAGTTGCATCCTTGTTATGTATGTTTTTTTTTATGAAAAATGATAAAATTAAAAATTATTCTCTTTCCTTAACTAGTTTAGTCGATACAAATTTTTGATTTATTTTAAATTAAAAAATAAACTAATAAACATAATTTTTGCTTTCATATATTTTCAGTAAATAAATATATAATATAATAAAATATATAATAAATTTTAGTCAATTTTATCTTAAATTGGTAAATACCAAATTTTTTGTCAAGTAACATATTGTGTGTGATAACTTCTAAATGATTTTTTATTGATAACCAAGAAAAGAAAAATTTTCTCCTTATTTTACCGTTTTAATGAGTATAAATTATACTTGATAGCATTGAATTACCCCTTAATAAACTATTAAATTAATTTTTTGATATATATTAAAATAGATTTCACAAACTTATTGTCGTCTTAAAATTATGTTTAAACCACAAATTATCTCCACATATTAATATTGTGTTGTTTTATGTTATAGTAAATATTATTTTAATTTGTTTTATAATTTAAATTTGTATAAATATTTTTAAATTCTTCTAATGTTTGTAGGTTAGTATAATAAAAAGATAACTAAAAACAATAACAAAATAATCAATTACTGTTTAATAAAAATAGTATTAACACGAAAAAATTAGTATATGTTTCTTCTCTAATAAAAGAAAATAAGATTTTTCATCATCTTCAATTTCATTCTTTTTATATCAGTTTTCTAAAAAAACTGAAAAACAATTTTAAATTTTACTTTCTTTCCTTAATTGATTGCATATTATTTTATATCTAAGTAAATTTGTATTTTGTTTAAAAAATGTAATTAATTTAATATTATTTTATTTTTTGTTGTTAATGGAAATTTAATACATAATTTCATTTTTTTTATATATACCGTCGGACCGCTTGGACCCCCCCCTCATGTAGTCGTCGGCCTTCCCCAGCCACCACCTGGTCGTATGAAACTGGCATGCATCCTGGCTCCCGAGACTCTTTCATAGAATTCCAACAATTTCTCCCGTTCCTCAAAAGCCCACTGAGGAACTGATAAGGATGTGTTTTTGCTTTGCCAGGGTGTTCTATCACGTTAATCGTCACCCACTTAAGCTCGAACAAGTCCGGGTCAAATAGCAATGATTCGAAGCACATATTAATTTTTAGAAACTTTCTTAATTTTGAATGTTGATGTGGACCAATAGAATTGCATTTTTAAGTCTATGTGGACACACTTAGAGGTATTTAACTTCAACTTTTATTAGTAATAGGATGTTATTTAATATCTTAGAAAACAATTTATTTGTTAATAATTGGTTCCTTTTTTTTAAAAAATTAGTTCTTTTTATGTTTGCATTAAATTAGAATGTGTGTTTTGTCAGCTCTTCTGATTAGTTTTTCTATATAACAATAGATTTCTCATAATTCTAATCAAGGAAAAACTGGGAATACATTCAGAAGGTGGAACAGGAAATACTTAGCCTCCCAGAATGTTTTAGTGGTTCAAAAGTTGAGATGCTGAGCTTTATTCAAGACAAGATGAAATCACGTTTTCATGGCTGGTATGGAAGATTCTTGTCACAAAGTGGGAAAGAAATTCTTCTGAAATCGGTGGCAATGTCTATGCCAGTGTACAACATGTCTGTTTTCAAACTCCCAAAAACGACGTGCCAAAACTTCACTAGTGCCATGTTAAATTTCTGGTGGGATGCACAAGAGGACAAGAGGAAAATACATTGGGTATCTTGGGAGAAGTTGTGCCTGGAAAAGGAGTTGGGTGGCCTTGGATTCAGAGATATAGAAATGTTCAATCAAGCCTTACTTGCTAAACAAGCATGGAGATTACTAGCACAGCTGGAAAGCCTCTGCTCCCAGGTTTTAAAGAGTCGATACTACCCTAACTCATGTGTCCTCTCAGCAGTTGTGGGTTCACGACCTTCATACGCATGGCGAAGTATCCCTCATGGGAGGGACTATTGGAAAAAGGTTTAAAGAAGTCAATTGGAACGGGTGATACTGTTAATGTGTGGCTTGATAATTGGATCATTGACGAGACGCCACAGGCTCCTTATCGGAGGGAACTGATTTGGGATCTGAATCTTAAAGTTGGTGACCTGATCAACCCTCAAACCAAAACTTGGGACCGCGGCAAGCTGGATGAGGTCTTTGTCCCAGGTGATGTTGAGATTATAATGAAGAATAAACCAGCTTATGGAATGCCGGATGGATATGAATGGGCTTATAACAGGTGTGGCGACTATTCTGTTAAGTCTGGATACTGGTTGGAAAGGAACTTGAATCCGTCGGAAGCAAGGCTAGCTGCCATGGTAAAACCGTCACTTAATCTTTTGAGGAGCAAAGTTTGGAGCTTAAAGACAACCCCAAAGATCAAATTGTTCATATGGAAAATATTGAATGACGCACTATCTGTATCAGAAGGCCTTAAAGCCAGAGGAATGAAAGTTGATTGTGGCTGTCAGATCTGTGGCGGGGATGGGGAATCTATAAACCATGTCCTTTTCGATTGTACGATTGCGCACCAGGTTTGGGCACAGACCAATTTCCCATTCCCACCTAATGGCTTTGATAAACAATCGATATATGGGAATGTGTCATACTTACTTAACAGTGTGAATGACAAGGAGATACCGACGGAGATTAGCAGAAGCTTTCCATGGATACTCTGGCAGCTCTGGAAAAATCGAAATGCCTTCTTATTTGAAGGAAAGAAGTACACTGCTACTCAAACTGCAGAGAAAATCTGGGAAGATTTACTTCAATGGTTCTCTCTTCAAAGGTGCAAGACTGAGCTCGATAAAAAGAACCAAAAAGATGGCTACCCCCTGAGCACGGAACCCTGAAATGCAATATTGGCGTAGCGTGGTCAAGAAGGAAGAGAATAGGTGGAGCGGCATGGATTGTTAGAGATCACAATGGAATAGTCCAAATCCATAGCCGCAGAGCCTTCAGTGCCATTGAAAGCCTGAGTGAGGCGAAAGCGAAAGGGCACCTCTGGGCTGTGGAAAACATGCGCAATCACCACATTGACAAGGTTATTTTTGCTACAGAGGCTTCTGAGATAATTGGAGCTGTAAACAGACCAAAAGCATGGCCATCTTTTCTAGCTCAATTTAACAAACTACTTGAGGCTTTGAAAGATGTATGAGAATGGGAATGGAAACTGGAAGTCCACAGAACGAATAGGCCGGCTTCGTTAATTTCGAGGAGTGTGCTAGTGGAGGACATATTGCAATCGTATGTAGCTGCAGGAGGCTCGGGGTGGCTAAATGATGTTCTTGAGCAGGATAGGTCGATTACCTCTGTGTATCAGGCCTGATTGGAATGGTTTTTATTCTTCTTGTTTGGCATGTACAAGACTCTGTTTATCATGGTGTGAACTCTGTTTTTTTGTGTGAATTAATAAAATGATCATTTTGTGTTAAAAAAAAAAAAAAACACTTCTGTTAATTTTATTATTTCTTGTGTTATATATTTTTATCTGTCACTAATTTTATTATTTCTTGTGTTATATATTTTTATCTGTCACTATTATATGATTATAATTATAGTTTTAAATTTTTTATTTTTTTTAAACCATCTCAATTATCTCATAAGTTACATAACTAGCTGTTACCCATTCGAGTTCTCTCCCGATTCAAATGTGCATATGCGTTGCACATTTGGAATTTGGAATGCGCAACAGAATAAATCTTCATGGTTACAAAAAAATTTGATAATATTGAATGTTGGTGCAAGAGGTTATTATCCTTGTGTTGTCACCAAGAGAGGAAGCTTAACAAAGTAAACTTTACAAAATCTCCTAATCTCTCACAAGTTAGCGTCTTTGATTGTTGTCGATTTGATTGTTCTTATGGGTTATTTTGGGTGCTTTGAATCAGTAAGCAAGAAGAAGGATGTCAAAAGAAGAAGCTTGATTCTCTGCGACCCTCAGTTTTTTTTTTTTTTTTTGAATCTAATGTTAAATTATATTCAAAAGAAAAAACAACTCTGCGACCCTCAGTTACAAGGTATAAAGCTTGAATCTTTTTGTGTGTTTTGTGTTGACCTGATTCGAAAGAAAATATCTGATTTGAAAGAAAAGATCTGAGATTGTTTTGATCTTTGTGCAGATCTCGTGTTGAAGAGCCATTGTGTGAAGAGGAGACGAAGAAGCTGAAGCAATCAGTTCCAAGTGCAAACGATTTCGTTGACTGTAAATTCTTTGAGGATGAAGAAGAAGTTACATTGGACCATCCCATGCCAATGTCGCTGGAGAAGCCATACACAAGCATCTCTGACTCTGATCCAATGGTAAACATAAATCAATTCACTTCATAAAAGATCTTAGCTTTGAATGCAAATAAAATATTGTAGAATTGCATAATGCTGAATTTCAATCTTGTTCGGTTTTGATTGGACAGGAGGAAGTTGAGATGGAAGATGTAACAGTGGAAGAATCAATTTTGGATATAGATGTCTCAGATGCGAAGAACTCACTTGCAGCTGTTGAATATGTCCAAGATCTCTACGCATTCTACCGGAAAATGGAGGTAAATTAGTCTGGTTTAATCCGTCTCTCAAGGAGCAAGAGTCTTTGAGAGCTTGTTTAAGACGATCCTTGTTTTGAATTTGCAGAGGTTTAGCTGTGTTCCAGTAGATTATATGATGCAACAAATCGACTTAAACGAGAAGATGAGAGCAATACTAATCGACTGGCTAATCGAGGTATACATCGAAATTCGACCTGAGAACGGTACTGTGTAATTTGATAGAGGCTAAAGAAACTTGAGTATAATCGCAGGTACATGACAAGTTTGATCTGATGAACGAGACGCTGTTTCTCACAGTGAATCTGATAGATATATTCTTGTCTAAGAAAGCTGTTATGAGAAAGAAGCTTCAGCTAGTAGGGTTAGTGGCTTTGCTCTTAGCTTGCAAGTATGAAGAGGTTTTGGTTCCTGTTGTCGAAGATTTAGTACTCATTTCAGACAAAGCTTATACGAGGAATGATGTTTTGGACATTCTTAGAATCACCGCCTTTGTTTTAAGTAACATGTTCATGGTCTTAGCTATTACAATCATGCTTTTTCTTTGTTCAGTTTAGATTAATCTTGGAGATGACATGTTATATGCTTGCGTATGGAGCTGCTGCACCTTCCATCCTTCTTCTCATGAAGTTCAAACTACCTCACTTTTTGCTTCCTTTTCAGGTATGTCATTTGCTCTCACTCGTCAATCTTGTAACTTTTTTTTTTTGTTTTTGTTGTTGAGTTTTTACTTGGATGAATTTGTATTTCAGGCAGCTTACCTGGATCAAGCTAGTAAAACATCTCCACCAAGTTCCTCAATGCTAGTAGTACGTGACTTCTTTATGCAAGGAACGTTTTCTAATGATCCCCTTTTTTTGGACATTTTCTGAGTCGGGTTTACTGTTGTTTGATGCAGAGGTTATTCTCCAATATGGATAAGTTGGTTTCCTGCGATCAGCCTGCTGACTCAAGACTATGGTGCGTTGTTTCTCTATCTCTATAGGAATACGAATCGTCTCTTTCAATCATGTCCTGATTTGTTTTGAACAGGATTGCAGTGTTGGCTTTTCACACTGCACTAGTGCGTAGCCCTCAGGAGGCTATTGTACTGCACGCTTTTGCCTCCCTGCTCTACCATAGAAACTGGAGCAGAGCTGTCAAATTTGCTAGAGAACATGAAAACTCAGTACTAGGATACGCCTCTGAGATATCTAAATCTTCGAGTAAGAGATCCGATAAAGATCTTGCAGAAGCAGTTTCAGAGTTCGCATATCTAGTTAGAAAAACTTTAATTGTTCTGACTGAAATGGAGGCTCTCCGCGAAGCCCTACACCTATACCCAGACTTCAAATGCTCAGGTCTGGTAAGTACAAAGTGCATTTTACTACGATATAAATACTCGGTTTAAGTTTTGCTGATCTATGTTCGATCTTGTACTCAAATTCCTCAAATCTCTGCTTCAACTTTTCTTAATCGAACAATTGTTTTACGCGGTTTCTCAGGTGTTTATACCGAAGACAAAGAGGAAAGATGTAGCAGATTGGTTTGCGAGATTGAGTGATGTGGAATCATATGAAAGCAAAAAAGAAGGATTCTCTATTGACTATATCTCACTTGGGAAGGGAAGTCCATGCGAAATAGGATTTGTTCTTGGCAAAATCATTATGGACACCATCATCGAACAGCCAAATTCAGTCGAGAAGAAACAGAGCTCCAGAGATCAAATAGTTCCAGCGGCTTGTATGGAGAATATGGCTGAGTTGGTAGTTTCTAAACAATCAAAGGAGGATTGCAACGGTCAAGCTCTAGTCCATGGCTCTAAAGCATCATCTGTTTTTAAGGATCACCAAAGAAATTTGAAGAGGATGAGAGAAGACTGTGAGCACAAGAATGACCAAGAGACACAGATGTGTCCAGACTCAACACTCTCTGGTCAAGCAAAGAATCAAGATAAGTCTGTAGTAGTCCAAAAACCTAAGCGACGTCGCAAAGAAGCACTAGCCTTAAAGGATCCGAAGCAAAAGACTTCAAAGAGGTCAAAATCAGCTGAGCAAGAGAGTGTGGAAAGTCTCTCAGGTCCAGCAAATAATGAGCATCAAACCGGAGTCCAAAAGAATAACAAGCGTGGCACTAAATCACCAGTCTCTGATCCTCCTAAGCAAAAGACTTCGAAGAACCGTTTGAAGGAGACACAGAAATTGAAACGCAATGACATGCCTATAAAGGAGATTCAAGATGCCAAACGCGGCTTCGTTTCCGACAAATCTATGAGCGATCTTCTAAAAGTTCTTGTAAAAATAAGTCAGCAAGCGTCTAGTAAAGAAGAGAGCGACTCATTATCATCAGAGAAGACAAAGAGACCAAGAAAACTCTCAAGTCTCTTCAGGTGAAGCGGTTACCCTACAAATTACTCGGGGGGCTTAAAGCCAAGATGGGGACCTTCTGATTCAGTCGCAGTCTCACTCCACAATTTCTACTTGTTTGGTACAATGTATTAACTTGACCAATTGTTTCATCTTGTTCATCGACATAGATGATAATTTTGTTTTTCTTTCTCCGGAGTAATATGTAATATGCAAATTAGATGTCTTTTTGGGGTAATATATGTGTTTAATTCAGAGAATCAAATAATTTTCTTCTTTTCTACATAATATATATGTTAGATGATGCAAAGCCTCTATGCGAAGCCATCTATTTTCCTTACTCTGTATTCTGTAACAATTACAAAAGAGATCACATTAATAGTTTTTTTAGACCTCAATACAAACAACCGTATGAACTGATTTGAAACATACTGCGAAAATTTGTTACTCCACACAAGGTCTTGTGATGATATTGCATAATTTGAAAGAAACTGAATCATATGGTTATATAAAAGAAGAGGTGTTGATAATCATCGAATTCAAAAGGATGTTTTATTCTCTAGTAGGAAAACACACACACACACACACATAATACTGCACAAGAGAAGTTCATAACACTTCTCACAACTTAGCTTTCTCCCAAGAGACAACTCAAAGAACATATATGCGTCTCAGTAGACACCTCGAAGTATACAGAGCTTGAGCAGCGGCAGCCACAATGACAACAAGTTGGTCGAGTGTTACTAGTGTTGGAAACAACTTCCGCACTAAAAAAAAAAGACTGGAACGTGTAGCCTGGCTTCACATAAGCGGAAGGCCCAAATACACAACTCCTGTGGATAGTGATGCAAGGTTTGTTGCTCGTGTAGAACCACTTTCTTTGATCTAAATTTTCCTCACATACTTCGCACCAATATGTTTCATCCGAGACCTCTCCGTAGCAGAGGGAGAGAGGTTGATGTACATCATATTTGTTGTGTAACTTATCTGGAATGGTAGCACATTCATAACAGATTGCAAAGTCACATGAAGTACATTGTAGATGGTAACAGGCAGACCTGCCTTTGCAACCCTCACAAAAAATCATTGCTTCACCAGTAGAAATGGGGATGAACAAGGGATGTTCATGGCTCTTGTGAGTGAAATAATCAGGAACTAAGATGCACCGAACATCTACTCGAAACTCCTTGTCACTCTCATCCTCACAACCATCTTTGCAGCACTTGTACGTAAAACCCGTGAAACGTCGAGAACAAACCAAGCATTTTGTGAATCTATGGAGGTGTTCTTGGTGAGGAGACGGATCTAGGACAAGAGGGTGATTATGCAATGCATGATCAAGTTTCCGAGGAAGATTGGCACATACTTCATGGAGAAAGTAGTCACACTGCACGCAGTTGTAGAAATCGCGAGAGTCAATATGAAGTGTGCACGCTTGACATTGCTTCTCCGCATCTCGAACACCATTATACTTGTCAAGCCTAAGATGGTGTTCATGACAAGAATGTTTTATCAAATCATCACCAACTTTCTTGAATGGGGCAACATCTTCTTCAGTTTCAACAAATTCTTCGGGTTCCCATTCGAGTTCACTCCCATCCCATACTGCCTCATGAGTTACACATTTGGAATGGACCACATAAGAGCAATCATCATGGTTACAACAATACTGACCATACTTAACATCAACTGTCTTGTAGCAAAGTCGACATGACGATGAAACAGTGGGCGAAAGAAAAGGTTTATAAAAGAGGCGATGGGGGTGACGCGTGATTTTTATGACGCGTGGTAAGTCTATACAACTCCCGTGGACAATGTAATTACATTGAAAACAAGAATAACTTGTACTTTGTTTTTCTACCAACCCACATGCATCACATGGAAGCAAAAGTGGCCGAGGAAGGAAAAAGAGTGAATGGTGATGGCTTTTTGGATTTGGGATAATAGGAGGTGGGAATATTTCGGCACAATTTTTATCCAAGCAAAAGTTACAGATTGAACAACGGTAGAAAAAACTATAGTCCTTCAAATTATCTTCACACCAAGTGCATGTTTCAAAAATGTTACCTTGATCAGGTATTCCGGAATCGGCGGTGAATACCTCCATGAAGTTATCTAGGTTGCAGTCATATATGATCCCGGTTTCGTGGTTTAAAACACTGAAAATGAGAGGATGTTGTGGGTGAAAAGGATGTATCATCTTCCTCGGCCACCTGTGACAATGATTATGGAACTCTACATCACATGTGGTACATAAATAGTAGAATGTCGCGGCAATCTTTTCTTCGCCGCATGCAAAGCAACCAGACGGAGGGTTTTTGCCGGTTCGACGGGAGAGCGTGTGAGGATGAGCCGGATGAGACAGACGACATACCGGCGGCTCTTCTTCATCAGATTGCATTTTAAAAAAAAAAAAACTTCTTTGATTGTTATTTTGTTATGATCAAATGATTGTGTGTCTTTACATTTATGCTCTCACTTTCCTCATCTTGACTGAAAGTTGCATAGATGGGAATATAAGTTAGTTTAATTAGACTAGATACAAATTTATATTCAACTTGTGATATACTATATCATTGGTTTGTTCACCCAAACACGTCTATGAGCTGTCCATATTTAAAATAGTATATATTAAAATAATAACAAGAGTTTTTTTTTTTGTCGGCCAACATTAATAACAAGAGTTAATATGATAATATCACTACCAAAGAGTTTCATGTTGTCTCGATCTACTTCAAAATAAAGTACTCCCTCAGTCTCTCGTTTCAAATTATAGATGTTTTAAAATGTTTTGTGTTTGTTTCAACAGAATTAAGTTTTTTAAATTTTATAGGTGTAGTTATTGGTTTTTTCCTTTTATTTACCACTACTATTTTTATTAGTTAAAAAGAAATTTTAAGCAGCAATTAATAAAAACAAGGATAGAACTATAGTTACAAATTTTTGGCAAAAAAACTGTAGTTATAAATAATTGTTCAATATATATATATATATATATATGAAAAACCTAAAACATCTAAATAATTTAAAAAGAGAAAATAGAATAAAGTTTTGAGATAATTATCACCAAAGACACTTTTCAACACTTTGGTTATTATTATAGGCACTTTGATGTTTTGGTGCACTTATCTTGTTACACCTTATTTCTTAATAATACCCTTCATTTACACTTATCTTATTTCATTTATAAAAAAAAATATATTAAAACTCTCGGATCCATTTGACTTCACTCATCTGCTTTCACACACTAAATCGCAGGGCACCTATCTTAACTCACTCACATCTATATAATTATGTATATACAGTAAAACCGTGATCTTGGCTCGAGTGTCAACCTCATGCCTTACTCTGTAGCTACAGCTGGAGCGGAACCCAAAGATCCTCTTATCCTGAAAAGATCATTTTTAGCTACAGCTGGAGCGGTAATTGATGTCAAGCATGGTAACCTTGATTTCCACCTGGGAGATACAATCATGAACTTCGAGATGGAGAAGCTGAAGGATCCAACCATAGATGACCAGACATTCTAAGTCAGTGCAATACCGGAAGTGATAGTTGGAGATCAGAAGGTGCTTGATGCTGAGAAGGTGATAGATCAATATGAGTTGACTAAGACGTCTACAGAACCAGTAGCTGCTATTGAGCAGAAAGCTCAAAACATCATGCTCCATTCATTTCCACCAAAGCAAAGGTACGCACCTCTTGAGCATATTCCTAATAATTCTTGTGATATTATCAAAGCTGATTTGAAAGATGCAGACTTTGTCTCACGACGAAGGCTACGAGATTATCGTAGAGCACTTGGTTTTTCGATTTGATGATATTGCAGGGAATAGGTTAAAGCCGTCCAAACACAGATCTCACCCTGGTGCTATTCCTGCATTCCTTGGACGACCTCATGCGCACAACGCTTACAAACCACCATGGATGAGATGACTTTTACAGAGGCATTATTTGCCACTGTGTGATCCACCAGATGCATAGTCCATCCGTCAAGTCAAGCTAATGACTTAAAACAAGCGCTTGGTGGGAGGCAACCCACCGGTAAGTCTGTATATAATTTTTTTTGTTTCTTTTGATTTTCGTTTTTTGTTTTTGTGTTTTAGGTGTAGCAGATACGAAGTGGTTGGTGTCGAGCGACACCACCATCAGTGTCAATCGACACCAGCCTTAAAAAAAAAAAAAATTGGCAAACCGGAACCGGACCAGTGACGATTCTAAACCGGAACTGGAAGCAGACCAGTGTCGAGACACAGAGCATTGGTGTCGCTCGACACTACCATTGGTGTCGCTCGACACCGTCTAACAGATTTCACTCAATGTCGCTCAACATGAGTACTTGTGTCGACCTAAGCATGGTGTCACTCGACACCAAGCTGTGTGTCAGTCGACACCAACCGAGAGGTAAGGTATTATCGCCGTAATCATGAATCTTTTCAGTTCCATTCCCTTCTTTTACCAACTTTGGACTTTATAACACTGGGGACAGTGTTGTTTAAGTCTGGAGGAGGTAGTTGCTGACATTGTGTTCGTTTTTCTTAGAGTCAGTAGTGTCAAATTGTTTTTAAGTCAAAACCTGTTAGAGATTATGATGCTTTTCTTGGAATTATTGTGCTGACCTTTCATTTAAGTGACTATTGCTGTAGAATCAGTCTAGATCCGACTAATAAAAAATCCAAAGGCTCACCAGTTGACTAGAGGCGTCCATGTTTCCAACAAAGTCCACTAACCTGAGCTAATTTCTGAACTCTATCTTTTACCTCATTGATGTGACTGATGTTCATAGAGCTTGATTCTTCATTCATACTTGACAAATGAAAGCCTGTGTGAGATCTAAAGTTAGTGTTTCTCTCTCTTATGTTCAGTATTTAAAAAAAAAAAGGAAAAAGGCGAAAAGATTGAGATGATTTTCTTCTAAGAGTAAAGGGTTAGGAAAATTTTCAATGATCCCATTATTTTACTTTTAAGAAGGAATGATCACACAAAGGAAGGAAGCGAGGGGTAGAAAAGTTTCCTATGACCCCATTATTCGCTGAAAACCTTTGATACATAGTAAAGGGACAAATCGGGGATTCGATGGCAAACACCATCAATACTCGCATCTTTAACCTTATCGTGTATGCCATAAAAGATGAGAGTACAAAAATAATAAGTCTGGGGGAGAGAAAAGTACCAAAGTGTATGGCTGATTTGTAAAAGTGTAGTACGGGAAAGAGTTTAGAAGGTTCTTGGCATTAGAACATTGATGAGACCCAGCGATGAAGCTTATGGACAATGTTGTGGAATTTTGGACTTAATCTGGGAGGCTGCAAATGTCTGAACCCCTGTTTCTTAAACTCATTATTCTTTTCTGCAATCTATTCATTCATGTTTATTGCTTCAATCTCTATGTCTGAGTAGTTTGCTTGTTAGGTTTAGGATTCTCATAAAGGATTTCATTGAATGTTAGATTAATTGATTAGTTAGGGTTCATAATCTATTTAGTTCTTCACCATAGGTTGTTCTTAAAGCTAATTCTGGACTGACCACCTAGAACTTAGATCTTAGGTTAATTGATTGACACGAAAGTGTAATTGAATAATTGGAAAGAATCTAGGGTGAGCAAAGTAGCTATCTGCAAAGAAATTTGGTTTAGATACTTTGTGAACATATCGAACCTGCACTTAAGGCTAGTTTACATCTTTAGGATTTGCAAAGAAATTTGGGATTCTAAGATTTAGACTTAGATAATTCTCGCAACAAAAGTTTGTTAATTATAATTTCGTGATTTGAGTTCAAGAACTGCGCTTAGCTTGAATCCTGACTAGTTGATTTATCTGCATTCTCTGATTTCTTAAGAAAAACCCTGAGCCTAATTCTTTTCCATCGAGTTTACAACCGTTTTGCTTTCATTGTTATTTTAATTTCATTGTGTTTGCTTAGCGTAATTCAAGCCTATGGAGTTTATTGAGCGAATCTCTCATCTCTGTGGTTCGACCCCTACATACTACAACTGTACATCTGTGCTCTTGCACAGTAGCTCTAGGGATTAAACTTTGAGCAGATCAGCTCATCCACGCGTTACTAACGCGGCAGTTGGTTACAAAAAGAAAATACGAGATGTGGACGGCTTTCGGTGGATATCCAATCAGGTTCTCTTTGAAAGAGTTTCAGCTGGAGACTGGCCTGCTTTGTGGTGAGTTTAACAATGATTACGATCATGATTCTGTGTTTCAAAACAAAGCATTTGGGGTCGATATTTGTTGGCATAAGTGGATTGGTGATGACAAGAGGACGACATGTACCGATATTGCCGAGATGTTAAAGTCTGAAAAAAAACATGAGCGGTGGCAGACGTCTTCGCCTGACCCTTATTCTTATAGTTGAGTGTGTTTTAATTGAAAAAACTCAGGCTCACAGACCAACGCCGCGTTATGTCAGACTTGTTGATGATCTCGACGCTTTTTAAAGTTTCTCTGGGGCAGAGAATCTTTCCTGGTGACAATTACGTCAATGATTCCTGCCGTAAAACATTTAAAAGGGCAGAAGACCCAGTTTCCCATTTCGTTCAACAATTGAAACAAGAGACATATATAATGCAAGGATTTCCTTTGGTGCTACAACTAGTTACGTTACGATGTGTGCCCACACTAGTAACCAAGCTTCCTGAGACAGTGGATAATCTTACACTTTTTGATTTACACACTTTGGAGTTATCTGCGTTGTCAATGAATGAAGTACTTGAAGCTGAGGCACATGTTAATGTAAGTTAATGTATTTTCTAGTGTGGATAACTTATAATATTAGTTTTCGATGACGCTAATTGAAACGTTTTGCAGTTGGTAGTACACTCCAGCGTAGGGAATGACACTGAAGAACTAGACGGATGGGGAGAGTGGGACGAAAAAGTCCGAGATAAGAAAGTTTTATACATGTTGGATTTGTTAAAGAAAAGTCATTTGTTTCAAAATCTTGATTGGCCTGGTGGTGATAATTCTCAACCGTTAATCAGGGTAGAGCCTGAGGTTATCAAAGGGAATCTTATGATTCATCTCATAGATAGGAGGGGAATTAAAAAGGGAATGACAGTTGTAGAACATAAGACAGTAGGCGGAAAAAGGGGTAATTCCATTCTGTCCAAAGCACCAGAGGATCCTGAGGGGCGTCAGAAATGGCTGATCGAGCAATTGTGTTTGTTAAGTGAAAAGGCAGACATACTAGAAAAACTAATTAACCATGTGCTGCTGGAGTGAAAAGGAAAAGAAGGGTTAAAATGGATAAGCAGGACACTGGAACTAGTAAAGCATTGATTCCTGTAGAAGAAGGAATTAAAAACCTTAGTGATCACGAAAAATCGGCGGAGTTGTGTGGTGGTGAGATATCCTCAAGTATTGTTGCGGTTGATATGCGAACTCCCGGCCAAGAGGTTTGTATGTTTGTACTAAACATCAATCTCCTTTAATAGCACAACATAATTGTATAATGGTTTAAACTATCAGTTAATGTGTA